TACAAAGTACCTGTATAATTGAATGTGAATTACTGTATAAATACAAACTGGAGACAATGTTAATAAAACCAATGGTTACGCATGCGTTTCTACATACATACATACATACATACATACATACATACATACATACGCCTGTTGCTCCCAATCAAGAATAGGCCACCAACCAGCATTCTCCAACCCAGTCTGCCCTGAGCCTTTCTTTCTAGTACTATTCAACTCCGCCTGAAGCCCCTCTGGAGCTACTGCCAGTTCAAAAACCAGATAAAGGAGGAGGGTTGGGAATGAGGTTAGCAACCTTATCCCATAGAAAACTAACTTGCTAAAAAATAATTCATACGTATGTGTTCAGGATTTAAGAGGTTCTAATTTCGATTCCAATGGGAGAGTAATCCATTTGTATTTCTGGTGATTTCTATACTGGAACGAAATGATCATTCAATGCTTTTAGAATTTTAATATTAATCTGAATTAGATAAGTTTGAATTATTAAAGAAACTCAATAATAATTTCAATCTCCACTTAACATAAAAGATTATTTACATTCATTTTGTTATTGGTATTTATACATTTGATCTAAGTTTTTGTAATACGTCAACTGAACAATAGTGTCAATTAAAAATTATTCAATGTTTACCTAGTTATAACAAAGTCAGTCAATAAGTCAGTTACAACGTAGGACCAGGCACATAGGTGCATCAATTCAAGTTGCCATACCTTACTTATTAGCACGACAAGATGAACATCGGATTCATAGTGGTAGTTCATTAAGGGATGATAATATATAAAAAAAGATTGCATTTAAGGATATAGTACGAGTAGAAAGAAAAATATGAAGTGATTTTAATCTCATGGTTTTAAGGAAGACAGAGAGTGTATACACCTACATCATTGTGATCGATTCTGAACCATTTCACAAAGAGTCTCTAACCATTGGTTAGGATAGTCAGGTGAACCCCAAATATCACAATTGATTGATCACTGGGTGGTGACCAATGTCATGCTTGTCTAGTCCTTATTATTAGTGCAGATCGAATGCTATCGATCATGTTGCAATGTGGCCACCAGTCTAGGTGACTCGACACTGCGGGCACTATTGTGAGATTAGATGGTGATTGGAGGTAGTCGACAGGAAACCCTGGACCCGGGTTTCGTGCTACTTGGCACTCGTCAGCAAGGTGTACCTCTAATATTTGAGGGAACTGATGCTCCCTGGCGGATTCGATCCCGTGTCACCCAGCTTCACAGTCAGAGATGTTACCACTGAGCTATCCTGGCCGCGACCGACCTCCTGTAGGACTGAGATGTAATCACAATTGATTGATCACTGGGTGGTGACCAATGTCATGCTTGTCTAGTCCTTATTATTAGTGCAGATCGAATGCTATCGACCATGCTGCAATGTGGCCACAAGTCTGGGGATCGAATCCGCCAGGGAGCATCAGTTCCCTCAAAGATTACAGGTACACCTTGCTGACGAGTGCCAAGTAGCACGAAACCCGGGTCCAGGGTTTCCTGTCGACTACCTCCAATCACCATCTAATCGATCCCCAAATATGCAGTCTGTATGTACCAACATAGCTCAGACTAGAAGTTAATAACTTCAAGATCATCATATGAAGTTATAAATATGTATTGGTGAATTTTATACTTTAAATAGGTAAATTATAGTTACCCACAAACTAATACCCATTTTATTATTATATTACCTATCTATTTATCATACGTGGGTTAAGTCATAAACTTACTCATTTGTAAAATGATATGACAACATAATAATCATTGAATGACTTCCATATGATGAAACTGTAAGTTTATTATATATTTAGTTATAAAAGTATCGACTACAAATAAAAAAAAAAGTTTATAAATATCTATAGAAATTTGATTCCACATTAAATGATTACCCATGGTAAACAAAATAAACAGATGAAAAACTAAATAAAATAACAAAAGGGGAACCATAGACAAGGATATATTCTGCCCCACCCTTCTATTTTAAAACATTGAAATCATAATAATAATAATAATAATACCATGATATATATGTTCATAGGCGGCCTACTTGAATATCTGGGCTATCTGTTTCATGCCATCTGGATATTTCAATAAGTGATCTATTTTCTTGTTTGTTTGTTTTAACACATCATTATGCCTATTTAGTCTCATAACCTATTCAGGTGCATTTGTGAATAGTTTACGACATTTCACTGTACAAGTGTCAAAAGAGCTCAATTAGAGACATCATGGTTATTGGTAATATGCATTGAAAAAAAATATATACATTAATCAGATGTCGATTCTTGAACTGATAACATCTAACTAGTGACCAATCAATATTTATTCGCAAGAAATTGATCAAGAAATAAGAAACCGGAAATTTGTTAAAATACTTTGTGCTGAGAATTCTATACTGTACAAAAACACATAATATTGAATAAAGCTACTGATAATAATAACAATACCATGATATCAACGCAGGGTACTAGGGAATGATGGTAAATCAGTTGATGAGGTTATGAATCTTCATAGACTGAGATGGTTAGGTCACGTTTTGCGTATGCCTGAACACCGATTACCACGACGCGCAATGCTAACCGGTATTAGAGATGGTTGGAAGAAAGTTAGGGGCGGCCATACTAAAACGTGGCATCAGTGCTTGAAGTCACTAACTTCTGGTCTGAGCCATGTTGGAAGATTCAGACTGCCTGGTTGGGGTCCGCGTGACTATTGTAACCAATTGTTGGAGACTCTTGGTGACATGGCTCAGAATCGATCACAATGGCGTCGGTGTATACACTCTCTGTCTTCCTTAAATTAAGAGATTAAAATCGCTTCATATCTTTCTAGGAACTAATTCTTTCTTCCTGTACTATCTCCTTATACACAATCTTTCTTCTATATATTACCACCACTGAATTAACTACTTTTATGAATCCGGTGTTCATCTTGTTGTGCTAATGCGGTATGGCAATTTGGACCGATGCATATACGTGCCTGGTCCTACGTTGCAGCTGACTGACTGACAGATATGAACTAGATTCATTAGGATGATCCACTATTTCAATAAGAGATCATAAATTTTTTTTAAATATCTTTGGATTTTCTTATTAATTGCATAGTTGTTATGCTTATTACATCTAAAACACTGAAGGAAAAAGAATAATCAACTATATCGTTCTCAAAGTACTATATTACTGGAATGCTATAATACATAATTCTATGGTTGGTAATAATAAATTTAACTTTTGTGTTAGTAACGATGGAAATGGATAGGACATACATTGAGGAAATCATCAAACTGCATTACGAGACAAGCGCTAACTTGGAATCCTGAAGGGAAGCGGAAAAGAGGAAGGCCAAAGCACACATTACGTCGGGAAATAAAAGGGGATATGAAAAGGATGAATAAGAACTGGAAAGAGCTGGAAAGGATTGCCCAAGACAGGTTTGGATGGAGAATGCTGGTGAGCGGCCTATGCTCCTTTTTGAGGAGTAACAGGCGTAAGTAAATCAGTAACATAAGTGACAATTAAAGTACTCATAGTAACCATAATTGATTGGCTTAATCACTGATATAATATACTATGTTTGTATGATGTGAAAAAAAACCCATCAATTACTGGGACTTGTACTATTGAGCTAAAGAATCAAGCTGCATTAGTCAAACTGTAGATACGTTTTGATGGTGGTGTATGGTCATTTCTAAAACCTGTAAATTGACAAGTCGTCATCTGATATATATATATATATATATATATATATATATATATATATCCGTTCGTACAATTTTTCAGATACTATACCACGCATCTCTAGATCAGTGTCTTGGTAGGTTTAAGCTGCAAGTAAAAACATTACCTTGATTCTATCAGTGGTACACACCACATGAATTAATGTTGTGATTCAATAAGCAACATATGTTATAAGGCTACGATTAGCTAAGAATACCGACAAACTTAATAGAACATAATCAATTTTAAGCATCTGTTATATTCGTTGCATTCTCAGATTATTCATCGAAGCTATGATGAACTAATGAAGTTAGTGAACGGTAAGTTTTGAATTTTGATGCGAAACTCATTCATCCATATAATCAAATATCAGTTTAATATCAATATCAGTTTGTAATGAAAACCGTTAATTTAATTCTTAACTTTTAACTCGAACTATAAATTCCAATCCTAATTTATAACATTCTTTGACCTTAATATGTAAGTGAGCTGTCTCAAAGTCACTATTGCGCCGTTCAAAACTCATCTATAAATTATAGTCCATCCGATTATTTCTGTATGTCTGCACTGAGCTAAACTAGTTGTATTAGTTTGCTAGAAGTTCAATAGTCTACCATTAAAATAATAGGTAACATGGAATCATGATTTGATTCTACCAAAATGGATGATAAAAGTCTATTACATATAAGGATAGCTACTGTTACTTTGAGTACTGATATGCTGATGTTTTTATTTATCCATTATACAAATAATATGATCTGAAGTTACATTTTCTCACATAAATATTATACTCCAAGAGATGAATTCATGTGAATAAGTGAAATACATTTGGACACAGTTTTTATCATTTTTCTAGTGTTCATCAACATCATCAGTGTAATAGACCTAGAAGAAATCTATTGATTTCTAACTAGATGTAAATTCTTTCTTTACTATATGCTTACATAAAATCTTTCTTTTATATACTATTACCATTACTTTAACTACTTCTATCAATCCGATGTTCACCTTGCAATGCTAATGCGTAAAATGTAGCAACTTGGACTGATACATATATGTGCCTCATCCTATATTGTAACTGACCGACTGATAAGGTAAACACCCCACCCCACCCCCCTATAATAATTAAATAGTAATCAATGTCCTATATGTTTCCATCTGATTCACAAATCGATTCATCAATTATTTTCATATAGTTACTTCCATTAGTAACTTAGTATAAAAATTTTTTTAAAAAAATGTTTATTTTATACAAACAAAACTTACTTGGGTTGTTTGATTGATTAATAATAATGATGATGTACATGAATGAAACATTGAACCAGCAACTGATTTAACAACACCTTCAGCTAATTTAAGTAATGGTATATTAGGTAATTCATTATTATCTTTATCTAATTCATTATTTTGATTTGCTGTATTAAATGCCATATTAAATACAAGTTGATGTAATATACCAAAAATCATAATAGTTAATTGACGATGTGCTATTGTTAAATCTTTAAGTATACTTTAAAGAGAATTTTTTGAAAAAGAAAAAGAAAAAAAAAAGAAAAACAAACAACAAAAAAACAAACATTAACTTTTTTTTAAAAAACAAATATAGATAGTAGCTAGTAGTGAAATACAGTTTAATACGAGTTTTGGATTCATCAGATGGATGTAAATGCATCTTAGAATTGGTGTTCACTCTGACAGGGATTCGAACCCAGTATCATTGGCTTCAAATATCATCGCGTTATCCACATAGCTACTGAATCCTGATAGATACCTGTTTGTACAACAAGGTGAAAATTTAATTCATTTGATGTTGTTGTACTTGTATCTTTCGATTGTTATTTAGGACTACAATTGATTAGTCTCTTATTGCATTTGTGCATACTGTGTGTATTGCCTCGATATTATCTTGATTGACAAACTTTTTAAGCAAAGATGGATAGTGACTAGCAGTGGAATTTAGTTTGGCGCGCGTTTCGTCCTATTTAGGACTCTTCAGCTGAATGTACTTGCAACCCAGAGTTGATATCTACTCCAGGATTTGAACCCAGGACCATTCGCTTCAAACGCCATCGCGTTCTCCACTTAGCTACATGGTCCTGTTAGCCACTAGCTTATGTTTTTACAAGTAAAACAACACCAAATAATTTTAAACATTAACTTTTGAAGTATACATTTCGGTATAACATTACATTATTGTTTACACATATCATATTAAATATCAATTCATTGACTCTGATAAGCATTCTAACAATGTTAGGCAAGGGTATTACAATAATTGATGATAACGTGACAAAATGAATTCTAAAAGAAGATAAACAGATACTATCACTCAAAGCATTTGAAAGACTAAAGATTTTGTCAAAGTAGCAGTGGAATAGTAGAATATATCATCTGCTCATAATAAGTGATTATAGAACAGAGATAATAAAACTTCAAACAATTAGTTGCTTTGATAATTCTGGATAATTATTATCAGTACAGGGGTTGTGGAGATTATTAAGTTTTTGATTGAGATCATAAACCGATTGATGTTAGACCACCGTTGGAAACCTGAAAGCATTGGACGGCCGTTTGGTTTTATTGTGAGACTCCTCAGAAGTGATCATTCACGATCCCTGTCACGGGATCCGAACCTAGGGTCTTTAGTCTCACGCACGAACGCTTAACCTATTAGACCATTGATCCAGCATCCAATAGTGTCTGTCTCCATTTCTCAGCTTAATATGTTGTGTAGTCTTCCTCTTCTCCTTTGACCTTGAGGATTACACGTGGGGGCTTGGCATGTGACATAGTTGACTGCTTTCCTGAATGTGTGTTCAATCCACTTCCAATGGTTCTTCCTGATTTCTTCCTCCACTGGAATCTGGTTTGTTCTCTCTCACAGTATGTTGTTGAACATAGTGTCTGGCCAACGGATCTGAAGTATTTTGTGTAGACAACTCTTAATAAACATTTGTATCTTCTGGATGATGGCTTTCGTAGGTCTCCAGGATTCCACCCCATACGGTAGTAATGTCTTGACATTTGTATTGAAAATCCGGATCTTGGTGTTGATTGAGAACTGTTTTGAGTTCCAGATGTTCTTCATTTGTAGATACGCTGCCCTTGTTTAGCCGATTCCCGCCTTCACATGTTCATCAGATCCGCCGTGTTCATCGATGATTCTGCCCAGATATGTAAAGGTTTTTACATCTTCCAAATCTTCTCCATTAATTGTGATTGGATTGGTGCATATTGTGTTGTATCAGAGAATCTTACTTTTCCCTTTGTGTATGTTGAGACCTACTACTGCTAAGGCTGCTAATACACTGTTCGTCTTCTCCTGCATTTTTTATACCATGTGCGATAAAAGAGCTACGCTATCAAATGCTTTCTCATAGTCAATGAAATTGATATAGAGTGATAAATTCCATTCAACTGATTGTTCCATAATGATCCGTAATATTGCGATTCAATCTGGTTTTTTCAGTTGAAACCTAAAAAATTGTTCTTAAAACAAACATCCGCCAGAAGCCCCCTCTGAGGATCACTGCTGGTCTCAATCTCGGATAAAAGAGAAGAGTTATGCATGAGATTATCGACCCTATCTTGTAGAAAAACTAACTCGCAGACCAAAAATCAAAAAAAAAAAAAAATCATTCAATAAACATAATCATATATCTCATATGTGTATAAAACTTACTTTTGAAAAACTTGTACACGTTCTATATCCACTGGAGTTAATTGATATATTTGTTTTATTGAACCATATGAAAATAATAAATGTACAATATTAGATTGTTGAATTGTATCAATCTTTGTAATAACTATAGCACGTCTTATGAATTCATTAAATGATTCTGTACATTCATTATCTGTATGATGTACATTCTTATTATGATTATCATCATGATCATTTGTTTCATTGAATAATAAAGTATTCAATGATTCATCTAGTTCTATAGGTATATTCTTTAAATTAGTTATTGTTTTTAATTGATTATTATTATCATCATTTAATGGTTGTTGGGTTAATAAAGCTGTATGTAATAATTGTTTTTCACCTTTTAAACCAATTAAACCATTTGGTATATTAAATAAAACACGTTTAGCAACTGTTGCTACTGTATGTATATTATAATCTTTCCAATCAATTATTTGATCAGATGCAAAACGTTGTAATATATGCTATGAAAGGACATAAAAAAAAAAGAAAGGAAACATTCATTGAAATGATTCGTTGGTTGAAGTATAATAATTATACTTAGATAATAATTTCAGTATTGGGATTGTAGAGATTGTTAATTTTCTGATTGAAATCATGAACCAATTGATGTTAGACCATCACTGGAAATCTGGTAGCACTGGACGACTGTTTCGAACTATTATGCGACTCCTTGGCAGGGAGCATCCACGATTCCGCTCGCTGGATTCGAACCCAGGGCCTTTTGCCTCACGCGCAAACGCTTAACCTACTGGATCACTGAGCGGGTATGCAATGGTGTTATTGTCTAACATCATCCAATCAATGAAATTGCGCGATCATCTTCCATTGTACTGAGGTAGATCGTGGATGCGCACTGCTAAGGAGTCCCATACTAGGACGAAACGGACGTCCAGTGCTTCCAGATTTTCAACGATGGTCTAACATCAGTCGATTCATGATCTTAATCAAAAATAATAATTTCAATTTGATTTATCTTAATAAGAATTATAGATGGATAATAGCTAGTAGTGGAATCCAGGACGTAAATTTCGTCTTATTTAGGACAAGTCAGTTGAATGTACCTGTATCCCAGAGTTGATGATCACTCCTGGTGTGGTATGTACTACTTAAATTGGCATAAGTAGTATATAAGGTTAGTCAGCAACAGAATGTCTGACAGTAGACAGATAAGAGGATCGAACAGTAAAAAATGGAAACAGAATGCAATTTGTATGAAAATGCAAGAACAATGAAGTCTAAGTCATTTTCAGACAACTGATGGACATTTTGAAAACTAAGCATTTACTATATGATTGTTAGACTTTTATTAACAAGTCCTGTAATTTTCTGTCAAATACATTCAATTATCCCCCACTGGTGTTCTTGTTCACTACACTAGTACATCCAGCTAACGATTCTCGAATAGGATGAAACGTGCGTTAAACTACATCCCATTGCTAGTCACTATCCATCTTTGCTTAAAAAGCTTGTGAATTAACGCTATATCGAGGCAAACTACACAGAATGCTCATATGCCAACATAAGACTGATCAATTGCAGTCCTAAATAACAATGCGAAGATACAAGTAGAACAACATCAAGTGAATTTAAAATGAATCATATTTTATACATTTAAACAATTCTGGTACGATTGAGAATGATTAACTCAATTTTATGAAGTGATCGAGTATTGATTGAAACTTGAACTTAATGGTTTAAGCTTGACGTTTTGCAATGCTGCGTAAGTCTTTGGCTTAATCTCCGATGGTATCGTTGACACTTAATACTAAATAGATATATACTAGAACAAAATAAATATCCATTACTATTAGAGTTTCTGTTTTATACTAAATAAAGTTTGTCTATTATATAAAGTTACAAATTTAACTGTCTTCATAACTTAAGATATTAGCAATTATTGTGTTATGACTAATCCTTTTTGATGTTGGCAAGGCATGGCGTCTGCTCAGGGTTTATACGTACAGCCATGTAACGCTCCACACTTTACACTCTCCATTGTCACCTCCCAAATCCATATTAATACTATTGACATCAAGTTACAGTTGGAAGCAATAAATAAGAGAAATCTAGTCACGTCAAGGTTGTGACATAAACCACTGATAAAAATGAATTTAAATGTAAGTAGTTCCGTATATGAAGGTAACAGTCATTCTCATCAGCCCTTTAATTGAAATCAATCAATAATGTATCATATCTAAGGACTGATGTATATATGTGACTGCTTATATTTAGTGTAAACATTAACACTAGTATTTTATTTAACGTAAACAATTAATAGTACCAATTTCATGCTGAAATTAATCACTCCATCTACAATATTTCTATTATCATCTCTTTCGCCCACAAATGCCCTGGTACGGGAGAGAGTGGGGAGAGTCCGCTCTCTCTCTCTCTCTCGAAATGCTCTCACATGGCCACGCGTATACAGAATCTGCCAGGAAAGTCCTACTCACTGCCTTCTCGCACCACGGGTATTCTTTACGAAATTGAGAGGACAAAAAGCATATGTCCTGCACTTTACCCGGATTCCAAACCAATGGTGAACATGAGCTCCAGTATCCTGAAGGAACAAATGGCGTGTAAACCAATTGTTGGTCACCGGCTACCATGGGACTGCATCTCCTCACGATGCTCCACTGCCTTGTGGATCAGACGTTCAGGTCAAAGGCTCGGGGTTTGTATTCCTAAGAAAACCACGTGCTTCGGTTTGGGCACTCAGGCAGTATCACAGCCCTCACACATATGAAATGAGATTTGTGTGGCACATATGTATTTGGTGCCTCCTTGTACCAATATCTATGTGTTAAACAAATAAATAAATATAATCTCTTTCGATTATTCTATAAATCAGTTTCATCTATAATCCATTTATGCTATTACTATTATTATTATCAGTAGTATGAATACTAATAATAGTAGAAATCAGTCATTTACTGCAGACGCAATGGACTAAATGTTAAGCGGTCCCAATGCTAAGATGAAGCATCTGTCCTAGTGTTCAGTGACTGCTTGTTATAGTCAGTCCGTGTTGTAAAATTATTAATTCAACAAGCTTTACAAATCTCATATTACTTCCTTACGCCTGTTACTTTTCGTGGAGGAACATAGGCCATCCAACTCTTTACTGGGCAATCCTTTCCAGCTCTTTCCAGTTGTTATTCATCCTTTTCATATCAAACGCCATATACACTAATGATAATAATGTTTTTTGAGAGATGATTCCTTTGGCTCTAGTAAGAAGCGCTAACCAGAAGAGTTCAATCATATGAAGAGTTAGGCAACTACCAACTACTGACATTGAATGATGGTCAATGTTTGTCGTGAATGGATTAGAAATGGAAATACAAATTTTCAGGTTTTAAACTCAGAAATCTAAAAGTTAAGAGCTTCTCACTACTCTTGAAGATTCTCAGTTTTATCCTCAATGGAGTCGTGTATATACATTGTTAAAGAATTCCTTATAGATGAATTCTTTTACTGTGATTCACCAGTAAACAAGTAAAAGAATTCTCTTGAATTAACATTTAATTTACAATATGTTACTGATAAATTTCATACAACTGAAGTTTAGATACCAAGATTGATTTCAATAAGCTGTTTAAGTAAGACTATAATTTATGGACGATCTTTGAGTGACGCTAGATTGACCTTAAGAGTGTTCACCTTATAAGTAAGACCAAATAAGATTTCAACCCAGGGTATTTAGTCTCGTGTGTGAACGCTTAACCTACTGGACTACTGAGCAAGCATTCAATGGTGTTAGTGTCTAACATCAACCAATCCACGAAACTGCGCGACCATCTTCCATTGTACTGAGATAGATACCTGTCTTTACCCAACACGGAATATGATTTGTCCTATTAAAATGCTCAATCAATCTTTCATGAATACTAAGTTTATACAAAATATGTAGAAATTTTTGAAATCGATTGTGTATAAAAGACAAGCTGTGAACTACGACCTGTAAAAAAAAAAATTGAACACTTCACTTCTATCTGAAGTTTATTCTGATAATGTCATTCAGAAGAAGAATAATGAAAGTTCCATGACTAAATCATCTAGCTCAGAGAATAAAACTCCATTTTAAGAAAAAAAACAGAGAGCAGCATCTAGAATATACTCAACTTCATAATAATTCATATTAAATCACTCACTAATAGAAATCCATTACAAATTAACTAATTACTTACTTAGTTACTTACCTACTAAGTTACTTATTTTGTTACCTACCTACTTACTTACTTAGTTACTTATTTATTTATTAACTTACCTACTTGCGTACCTACTTACTTACTTACTTACCTACTTACTTAATTACTTATTTACATACTGACTTACCTACTTACTTACTTACTTACTTAATTAATTAATTAATTAATTAGTTACTAACCTCTTTACTTATTTGTTTAATTAATTAGTTACTTATTTATTTATTTATTTATTTATTTACCTACTTTTGTACCTACTGACTTACATACTTACTTACTTACCTACCTACTTACTTACTTACCTACTTACTTACTTATTTACATACTTACTTATTTACTTACTTACTTACTTGTTCACTTACTCACTTACCTACTTACTTACTTACTTATTTACTTACTTACTTACTTACTTACTTAATTAGTTACTAACTCACTTACTTACTTATTTGTTTAATTACTTAGTTACTTATTTATTTATTTACTTACCTACTTGCGTACCTACTGATTTTCATACTTACTTACTTACCTACTGACTTACATACTTACTTACTTACCTACTTACTTACTTACTTATTTACATACATACATACTTACTTATTAACATACTAACTTATTTACTTACTTACTTGCTTACTCACTTGCCTACTTGCTTACTTACTTAACTACTTACTTGCTTACTTACTTAACTACTTACTTACGCCTATTATCCCTTATGAAGGAGTATAGACTGCCTATAAATGAATGAAGTAGTTTACATAAATAAAAGAAAAACAAAATTAATCAATTAAATTGTCAATTATCTACATAATTTATAATGATTATATCAATTTCAACTTTATTAATGATAGACTAGATAGAAAGAAAAACAAAATAAACATCAAAAATTATCTCGTAAAATTCCATATTGTTTACTAAATATTGTCCTTAAATAAATTTTTTAAAAAAAAAAAACGGTCAATTAAGGTCATTCAATGAAAAATAAACATGATAATAACTAGGAATTAAAACAAAAAAAAATTAACATTTAATATATGAATCAATAAATAGATAGATTTTGATTGAATTCTCCAACCGGCCAAACCCCCCCCCCATCATCTCCCTCCTCAATAGAAAACTTTATTTATTTATGTTATAGTGAAATAAAATTTAGTATCATAAGGGATTTTATGAAGATTGTAGTAATTTCAATAGTTAAAAATCATGAGTTAATTGAAGCTAGACCGTCATGAAAAATCTGGAACAACGGGATGGCCGTTGTGTGCTATTGTGGGATTCCGCAGCAGTGCGATTCCAACCCAGGACCTATCAGTCTCGGGTCAGGCGCTTAACTAATTAGACTACTGAGCCGACTGGCAATCCAATGGTGTTAATGTCTAACTTCAACTTATTCACGAAATTGAACGACACATCCATCATTGTCATCAATAAGTTACTATCTTACAACTGACCCGGTTGAACTCCACTGGTCACTGTTTCTTACTAGAACTCCAGGATATACCTTTTGAAGTCAGTCACTAGTGAGCATATGTTGATTAGAATCAGAAGGGGTTTTGTGGAGATTGTAGTAATTTCAATAGTTGAAAATCATGAGTTAATTGAAGTTAGACCATCTTGAAAAATGTGGAAGCACTAGACACCTGTTTCATTCAATGTTTCCAGGTTAGCTAGTTAAATATGCATAGCTTATAGTAAATCTGGTAAGATTTATCAGATTTTCAGATGAGATTCTAATTTTCGGACAACCTTTTTAGGAACGCTAGACTAAGGTTGAAAGTGTCCACTTAATAACCAGCACCAAATGACTATTATAGACCAATGTGAGGAATTACAATTATGATTTACAAATGATGATTAAGGTTAGAAATTAGATTTAAGGAGTTTTCATCATGAACTGACCTCAGCTCCAATGACATAACTTTATTTATCCAAATAGATAAATGAATATTGCATCAAAATCCAAGGCCTGTTATCTTATATATGCATGATTGGTTCGTTCATCAATTATAAACTTACCGTTTTAAAAATTGTTGCTCCGAATGTTAGAAGGGACATCAACCTCATGATTTTCGAAGGAGGTCGGCTTTCACCATAAGGCGTCATAGGTCTTCTAAATGAACACCTTCTAACTGCTAGATCAGAATTTAAATGGTTAGCGTTTTTTTAGTGAGTTAGTTTTCTACAGGATGGGGTCACTAAACCCATACCTAACCCTCCTCCGTTACTCGGGCTTACGACCGGTAGTAACTCTAGAAGAGATACAAGCGGAGTTTCCTAACTTGGAATCCTTAAAGGAAGCAGAAAAGAGGAAGGCAAATGAACGCATTGTGTTGAGAAATAGAATCACACATGAATAGGATGAATAACAACTGGAAAGGATTGCCCGGTAAATGGTTAAATGAAGAATGCTTATGAGCGGCCTATGCTCCTTCACGAGGAGTAACAGGCATAAGTAAGTAATTTATTTCAATGTAGATTACAAAAACTATCTATCAGATATATATAACTAGATCCTTTAAACAATACTACTTACTTTGATTTGAGCAATATTACCAGGTCGTCGAAATAAATCTTTAGCATAAACACCTTCTTGTGCTAAATATAGAAATAAATTAAATACAGGTATAGGTATAACACATTCTTCAATGAATTCCTGAATAGTTTCATCATCATTAGTAGTAGTACTTTGTGTTGTTTTATTAATTGGATCTAATACATCTTGTTGATATGGAGATTGTGTATAGATAGAATCAATTGGATTATTAGAACTGATAGTTGTTGTTGTTGTTTGCCAATGATTATTATTATTATTGATGATAGTTTTTTGTTGATTTGATGATTTGATATTCCATTGAAATGGGCAATGTGTTATCCAACGTGTAATAAATTTAGAACATTGTAAACTAATTGATTTTTCCGTAGTATCATTCATTGAAATACATGTTGTTACTGTTGATATTGGTGATGTTGTTATTGTTGTTGTTGTTGCATTAGTAGTAGTAATAATGTTAGTAGTATATGGATATGTTAAATTATATTGATAAGATGAAGTTGTTATATCATACATCTTATTATCATTTAGTTGCTATTTAGTTAGGATAAAAAAAAGAAGAAAACGTTTATCATGATTAATTCAATGAATATGGAAATAAGTTTAAGTAATAATAATATTGGTGTGACTATTATGTATGGTAGATCTTTTGAGCGACGCTAAAGTAACTTTGAGAGTGACTACCTACTTACTAGTGCGTTTCGTTCTATTTGGCACTCGTCAGCTAGACGTGCCTGCATCTTAGAGTTGATATTCACTCTGGGACTCGAACCCAGTACCGTTCACTTTGAAAACACCATCACGTTATCCATTGATCAATTTCAGTCCTAAGTATCAATGGTAAGATTTAAGTATACAATACCAAGTAAATTTAACCGATTGAATAATTTAAGCCAATGTAAATAAGTTATTTTTTAAGGTATACATGGTGAGACTATAATTCATGTACGAACATTTGAGCAACGCTAAGGTGACCTTGAGAGTGTCTAACTACTTACTAGGGTTAAATGAAGGTTATAAAGTAGTTTGAAGAATTAGGATTATGATTTACAGTCGATGATTAGGGTTAGGAATTAGATTTAGGGTTTTTATCACGAACTGACATCATCCATGATGTCAAGACTCTATTTAGCCAAATACATAAATGAATTTTGCACTAAAATCTAAGACCTGTTATCATAAATTCGATTGGTTCGTCTATAAATTATAGTCTCGCTAAATTATTATGCTAATTTTACTAATCAAAAATATTAGACCTATCAACTTAACCTTGAATGTAATAAGCGTTTTTAGTCATAGTTCAAGTGTACACTCTGGTTAAAGTAGCGTAAGTTTAGTTCAGAGAACAAGAACACAAATAAACAAAGAAATTAAGAAACAAAAACAGAAAGAAAGAAGGAACTAAAGAGAAAGAGAGAGATAGAAATTCTACATTTCAGCATAACAATTCGGCCAGACGAAAACATAGGACAAATCCATGAAGTCACTGACAAGTAAACTGAATCATGTTGGTTGGTTGGAATCCGCGAAACGATAGCACCTAACGATTAGAGACCTTTAATGACACATGGCTCAAAATGGTATGCAATGGCATAACTGCATCTACTCTTTGTGTTCTCCCGAATTTTAAACTTCTGAATTCCTCATATCCCTTTATTTTTTTATCTCTTTCCAAATTTATTTCACTGTATTATACTCCTTGAATTACATCTTCCAACCCTCATTTTTCCGATTACTACTTATACACTTACTGCCTCTACCAATATAGGATTTGAATCTACATTTGTATCCGTGTGCTAATGTGGCATGGCAACTTGAACTGATGTACATACGTACGAAATTCCACGTTGTTACTGACTGACTGACTGACTGATTAAAAAAGTTTTAATAAGTTATACTCTTTTTATATATTCTTACCATTCCAATGATCTTATTCTGCAAAGAGAAAAACGCAAAATCAAATCTATATGATTCAAAGTTTTCTTCATTTAAACAATTAAACATTTCCGAAATACTTATTTCATTAAAAGAAATTAATGTATAAAACAAAAAACATATTCACTTGAATCTTCCGATTGATGTCTTTAGGACTAAAATTGATCAATCTCTTATTAGCATATATGCATACTGTGTGTATTGCCTTAATTTACAAGCATTATAAGCGAAGATGGATAGTGATTAGCATTGGAATCCAGTTTTAGGTGCGTTTTGTCCTATTTTGGACTCTTCAACTGAATGTATCTGCATCCTAGAGTTGATGTTCACTCCGGAAGGGACTCGAACCCAGTACCGTCCGCTTCAAACGCCATCGCGTTATCCACTTAGCTACTGAGTCCTGATAGCCACTTGCTTGTACAATGGCGTGAAGTTTAATTCACTTGATATTGTTTTACTTGAATCTTCCCATTGATATCTTTAGAACTGAAATTGATCAATCTCTTATTGGTATATATGCATACTGTGTGTATCGCCTCGATATTGCCTTAATTATTTATAATTTATTCATTGATCACCTTATAAATATTACTTTTCTTCATCATCTACTACTACTGATATACTTTATGTTTTGCCTTTAGATTAGACCTAGTCATCTTATTTACAATACTTAGTCATTCATTGAATACATTGTATACATACATAGATAGATAGATACATCTATTGTATAAGATAGACAACAAAACTACTAAATATGTAGAAATACACTAACACAAATGGAAGAAAACTAAAATATGATAATTGATAAACGATATATATATATATATATATATATATATATATGTATATATATATATATATATATATATATATATATATATATATATATATAGAGAGAGAGAGAGAGAGAGAGAGAGAGAAAGAGACCAACTTCTTTTAAGGGTTTATACTAACGTAAATATCAATCTAGTAATGTCGATATAGACTTCTGACATTACTAGTACTACTTCTCGTACACTACGTAAGAGGTGAATAAAAGGTCAATAAAATAAAAAAGAAAAAAAAAAGAACGAAGCAACAAAGAGAAAAAAACGAAAGAAAATATATCAATGAATAAGGATAAGGAAGAAAGAGAGAATGTGAAACTATCGACTTATATATATATATATATATAGTTTCTGGGATCCTAGTGAAAAATGTGGCAGAAAAATTGTGTTTGCTTGTGTAGGGGTGTATATATGTGTGTGTGTGCGTATGTTGGTACATATGTGAAGATTTATTTTTGGTAAATGTAACTAGTGGTAATTAGGATAGAGAAAAGATTTAAGATAATAGATATTCGGTTATATAATCAAAAATTGATTCTTATTTATTTTGTTGGTAATCACATAAGGAGTTATATCTCTTTATACTGTTTCTATATTTGTGGAGCAATGTTTATATGTTTGAATTAAATAATAAATAAATCCATCTTGAGATTATTAATTAAATTTATAGTTGTCTGAACTATCCCGTTGTTGATATTTGGACTAAAATTCAGTCAGTCTTAGTTTTTTTAGATTTTTCCCTCATATGTAAATTGCCTTGGGATAGTCATGTAGACACGGGGTTTATGTTAAATAGTTAAAATTTGACTAATAATGGAATCCAAGACGTATATTTCATTCATTTCCGTACACCTTAACTAAATGTAAACATTAACGTGCTAGTTACTGAGTTCACAAAACCATTCACTTGTGTTCACTTAAAGTGAAAAGTAAAAGGTTCTAGCCCCAAAGCGAAAATCAGTTCTGAGATATAGGCACACCCAGTCGACAAGTCCAATTTTTTTACATTTTACTTAGCAGTTTATTTTTATATGACAGAGTAATCTCTATGAACTCCGCCTGGAGTCCCTTTCGGGGAGCTACTGCCAGTCCCAAGCCCGGATAAAGGGGGAGGGTTGGGCATAGGGTTAGCTACCCCATCCCGTAGAAAACTAACTCGCTAAAAAAAACGCTAACCAGAAAGTAAGTAAGTAATCTCTATGTACTTCTGTAATTTCCAATGTTACACTACCTAATTTAACATAAATCAATATGGTGTTCAAAGTATAGAAAAGATCTCCAAAAAGGAAATCGATTACAAGTCAAAATACTTAATATTAATTCCTGTAAATAAGAACATACGTTTCAGTACTATGGAAAACATTAATTACAAATAAAATTTATGTAATTTTCATTACATCATCACATTTCAGGACTAAACATTCCATCTAAACTAAATCTTATTCAAATAGTGGTTAGGCATTCGCGCACATGAATGATAGGTCCTGGGTTTGAATATTTTGAGGTGGGATCGTGGATGCCTACTGAACACGGAGGTGTCCCACAACAGAATGAAACAGCCATCCAGTGCTTCCAAGTTTTCCATAGTAGTATAACTTCAATTGACTCATAATCTCAACCATCAAAAAATTACTAATAATATCAACAAAATCCCTTCTGATATTACTCAAATATATCTTTAATCTTTAAGCTATCAGAACTCAGTAGCTAAGTGGAGAACGAGATGACGTTTGAAGCGTAGAGTATTGAGTTCGAGTCTCAGAGTGAATATCAACTGTGAGATGCAGGTACATCCAGCTGATGAGTCCCAAATAGGACAAAACGCTCATTCTGGATGTCACTGCTGGTCACTATCCATCTTTGCTTAAAAAAGCTTGTGACTTAAGCCTATATCAAGGCGATTTGCACAGGATGTACATATGCCAACATGAGAGTGATCAATTTCGGTCCTTCAAAAAAATGTGACAATACAATTATTATTATTATTATTTGAAGACATAAATATAGGTACAAGGGGGCACCAAACAAAACAATGAGAATATAAACAGTAGGGAAAAAAGGTAAGGAGCGTAGTTAATTAAAAAAAAGAGAGAGAACAATAACGACCAGATTAGTGTATGGTACTGTAATAGTAGTAATAATGGGGGAACGAAAAGGTACAATCAGAAGAAAGCTTACAGTTAAGGAAGATACAACCACTTTTTATGAAGAAAGTAAAAGAAGGTTACAACAGGACCGCCACCGGCTTCTTTTCTGAGCCATATCTGATAACGTTTCTAGCCACAGTGTTACACCATCTCTCGGACCCCAGCCAGGGAGTCGTGAAGGACCAACAGAAGTTAGCCCTTTGTAGCTTTCTTTCATACCACGACACCATGCCATATACTGACCACCTCTCCGCTTTTTCCAACCAGTCCCTGAGTCGGCAAATAATGCACGACGAGGAATTCACTGGGATGACATTCGTAGAACATGTCCAAGCCACCGAAGTCGATGTTTCAAGATGGTGACACCAATCGCATTATCGTCTCTATGCCCGAACACACGATGCCGAACCTCTGCATTACTAACATGGTGTTGCCACTGGATGTCAGCAGTCCTTCGGAGACAGCGATGATCAAACACAGAGAGTCGTCTAACATCCTCAGCTCGGAGAGGCCAGGTTTCACAAGCATAGAGCAAAACTGCTCTCATCGACGCGTTGTAGATCCGACCTTTTACAGCCAGACTAACATCACGAAGGCGCCAAAGATGGCCCAGATTAGCATAAGCCGCTCTGGCTTTCACTATACGTGCATTGATCTCATCACTCACTCCACCACCAGCACTTATGCAGCTACTTAGATACACGAACTTCTCGACTACTTCTATCTGCTCACCATCCAGGGTGAGTACAGGATTAGAATCCTGCCAGTCTTGTAGAAGTACTTTGCACTTCGATGGTGCAAAGCACATACCATACCTACGGACATTGATTGCCAACTGATTAAGTGCGAATTGCATGGCTTTGGCATTATCACACAGTAAGATAATACAATTAAAACAACACCAAATAAATCATTAATCTATTGTTTGTTTTATTATAAAAAATAACATTTTAAACATAAATAACTTACTAAATTCTTATTAGTATTATGATCAAGTATATCTGTACATGGAATACAAATTGACATAGTTTCTGGTTGTTTTGTTTGAATATTTTGATTTTCTTCAGTTGTTAATGATGAGAATTGTTTATATTTTGTAAATGATGATAAATATTTTTGCTTTTTAATAGATTGATCATTTAAACATGTTATAACGGATTCATGACATATAATACAATTATTATTATTATTATTATTAGGAAATTTTTTAGTATTTTCTTGTATAAGATTAGTTGTATATGGAAATGGATAATTGTCAGTAGAGATACATGTGAAAAATCTTCGAAATAATGACATACTCACACCACATCTCCATTCAAGAATAGTTGAATCAATGGACAGAATGATAAATGTGCTAAAAAAAAGAATAAGGTAACAAAACAAAAGAAAAAAACAAGTAAGCAGAATTGTCATAAGTTAATCTTAGTTGATGTGACACTACAAATTAGAGAGTAATAAATAGCTGGTTTTAAATACAGGAGAAGACGAACAGTGTAGCAGCAGCCTCAGCAGCACTACGTCTGAAAATACACAAAGGAAAAAGCAGGATTCTCCGGTACAACACAGCATGCACCAATGTAATCACAATAAATGGGGAAGATTTGGAAGATGTAGAAACTTTTACATAATTGGACAGCATCATTGATGAACACGGTGGATCTCATACAGATGTGAAGGCACGAATCGGCAAAACAAGAGCAACATATTTACAACTGAAAAACATCTGCAACTCAAAACAACTGTCTGTCAACCAACACCAAGGTCAGAATTTTCAATGCAATTGTCAAGACAGTTCTACTGTATAGGGCGGAAACCTGGAGGACTGCGAAAGCCATCATCCAAAAGATACAAGTGTTTATTAAGAGCTGTCTACGCAAAATACTTTGAATGCGTTGGCCAAACACTATCAGCAACAATCTACTGTGGTAGAAAACAAACCAGATCCCAGAGAAGGGAGAAATCAGAAAACAACGCTGGAAGTGGATAGGACACACAATGAGGAAAGTACCCAACTGTGACACAACACGAGCCCTCACATGGAGTCCTGAAAGCCAAAGGCGAAGAGGAAGACCAAAGAACACATTACGCCAGGAAATGGAGATAGATATCAGAAAAATGAACAAGAATTGGATGGAACTAGAAAAGAAGGCCCAGGATAGAGTGGGTTGCAGAATACTGGTCGGCGGCCTACGCCCTATTAGGAGTAACAGGCGTAAGTAAGTAAGTAAGTAAGTAAGTAAGTAAGTAAGTAAATAGCTAGTTTGTCATAGTATGTTACTCATAAACAATGATTACTGCTGGTGTCGATAGGGATCCAATACAAGACATTCCGGTCTCTCAGAGGACTAGTGGAAAAAAGAATACGAAAGTGAAAAGCTATTTACTGCTCCTTTGTTTTCAACTGAGATCAGTCTGTGACAAATATAACTTATAGATTATTATTGTTAAATTAATGATCAGCAAAAAGTCATTTTGATTTGATGGTTGGAAAGATTTTTCACCACTCAGACTCGCTGATATCAAACTGAATGTATCTACTAAGAATCATTGAGCTGTAGATTCACTTTCGTTAAAAATAACCGGAATCGAAGTACTTTAAGATCTCACAAAAAATGTGTGACTCAAAGATGAACATAAAATTATGCTCCTTCATTGCATTATATTGAATCTGTTGTCGAGGCATATTTTTGAGTACATCGACGATAGACATTATTAACGTACATACTCCTGTTACCCCTCGTGATGGAGCACAAACTGCTCACCAACATTTTCCATCCAACTCTGTCCTGAGAAATCCTTTCCAGTTCTTTCCAGTCGCTACTCATCCGTTCCATATGTACTTCCAATTACCGACGCAATGTGTTCAATGGCCTTTCTCTTTTTCGTTTTCCTTCAGGATTCCAAGGAAGTGCTTGCCTCGTGATGCAGTTTGATGATTTCCTCAATACATGTCTCATCGACCTTTAGTGTCTTTTCCTACTTTTCTCTTCAGATAGAAGCTTTTCGTTCTCTCCCACAATGGGCTGTTGCTGATGGTATCCGGTCAATGGAGATTCAGTATCTTGTATAAACAAGTGTTTATAAGTGCTTTTACTATTTGATAGTTGTTGTGGCAGTTCTCCAAGTTTCAGCTCAGTACAGTAGAACTGTCTTGACATTTATATTAAAGATTCTTATTTTGACGTTGGCTGACAGTTGTTTTGAGTTTCAGATGTTTTTCAGATGTTGGAATGCTGCTCGTGTTTTGCCAATCTTCGACATTATTTCTGCATCAGGTCCTCCTTGTTTATTGATGATGCTCGCTAGATAAGTGGAAGTTTTGACCTCTTCTAGAGCTTTTCCATCTTTGTCTGCAGCTCTTGCAGGGTTACTCCTGGTTACAAGCCCGTGTAAAGGAGGGTTGATAATGGGGTCAGAAACCTCAGCCTGTAGAAAACCACTTTTCTGAGAAAACGCTAACCAAAATAACTATTTTAAAGGATAGATATCAGAAGACACTAAAATTTCTTAGTGAATATTTTAGTCCTTGAGTAATTTAGGTAATTGCGCCTAGGAGTCGATTATACCAATATTAAACGCTAATTAACCCAGTCCACTGAAAACCAAAATTGCTCAAATAGTATAGTAGCTAGTGGCGAAGGTTATAAAACTCATTTTACTTAATTTATGACTCATCATATGAACTTTTCTAAATGTTTATAACAAGAACTTGACCGTAACAAACATCACCTCGAATATCTCAGTGATTATTCACTAAGTTATTGAACTACAATAGCCGCGTTAGTTGTTTCATAAGAAACTACAACCCCTTACACTAATCATTGAAGATGTTATACTTTAGAAAGAGATATCTAAAATTCAATTGTTTTTATTACATTTCAGTTAAATCATTTGCTTTATATTCAGTATTTATAAACTGATTAAAATTTTACATTCATGATAAAGTGATTACATTGTGTTATAAAGCTGAATAGAAATGTTTATATCAGAGATATAGAAATTGTAATCATAATTTATTCTTTCTAAATGATTAATGAACAATAGCCATTCAACGTTCAATCAAAACTCAAGTACGGATTAGTTTCTTAAAACATATTAGTTTATACAATATATAGTGTACATTACAAAAGATGTATATGAATCCGTAGCATGATGTTAAAAGTTAAATAATATATGCTAAAATTAAATATTTGATCGTTTGTTTATATTTCATCTATAAAACTACGTTAAACTATCAACCTTGATCGACTTTGTATTTGTATAGACTGTGTTAGTTAATAAATACAACAACCATATAAATTAAGAACGTCATTAAAAAGTGTAGAAACATTAATTCGGTTGATCATTTTTACATGTCTCATAGGATTTCATCTTTATATCATTGGTTATTTTGATTTAATGAAAGTCATGACAATATTTTCTTTAGGGATTCAATCATTAAAAAGCAAATCAATATGTACTTAGGTCTTTTATTAACTCTAAGTCGATTTTACAGTGAATTTACGATATTTGTGATCAAATGTATTGGATTAATCAAATGAGTTCTTTGATTTATGTATGAAAAATTATAATTGTGCCTTTTTTAGGGAAGGATCAGTAATAAACCAACTAAAACTAATTCTTATTAACTTATCTTTCAATTACAGTCTGAAGGGGTGAGGATTAAGAATTATATGTAAAGTAATCCCATATGATGTTATTGAAAATATGTATTAAATGAAAAAATCCAATTTGTTCAGTATTGTCCTAACCAAAACAGCATAATTTATAATGAGACATCTCAGTTGTTGCTTTTCGTATGGCGGTTTAGCTACTTTCTTTATTTTATTTTGTTAAAATGTCCTCAGTAAACTTAAAGTTCTCTTCAAAATAGAATATACTACTGTTACCACATGTTGCAGTTCAGTATGTTCCGTATGCTAAAAATCTCAATTCTTACACACGTTCTTTGAAATGTAAAGACAAGACAAAAATGGTGAAATCTGATCATTCTATAAACTTTGTTCAGTAAGCACTCCTATGGTGGAGAAGATTTGTAGCTCAGGTGGATGATTTTGATGGAGTTTTGTTCTCTGAGAACAAAACTCCATCAAAAACACTCCTATCGAATTCGTTAAACATGAAATAAGTTTTTTGAAAGGGAGCTTTATATTTACATGACCAGAAGAACTCTGAACATAAACGAGCCGTCAAAATATCCCGATGGAAGTTCAGTTAAACCTGCTTATATTGATTAACATGGCTTTTGCTTGAAACATATGTCCCAAATGTAAACAGGTTTATGTGAAATTATAGACAGTTTACCAGTTTTTGAAACCTTATTTTCGTCAGTAGAGAAATGGAACAGAAGTATTAGTCTGGTATGTGAGTACTTTGTGGAAAACCATTTTTGCATTTAAGCCATCTACCATGGAGTGATAAGTAATAAGTGAGTTTTTCACTAGATACCATTCTCCTCTGTGACACTGGATTTATTATCGTGTCATTAAATTCTTGGTCCTGATAGCTGCGTTATTTTAACTATCAAATTAATGTCTGTTCGAGTAAATTGTTGAGTACATAGTATAAATCAATCATATATTACATTCGCTTACCGCCCGATATCTAAGCAAACCAGCCCCTTGCATTAGCTGTTAGAAATCTTAGCTGGGAGGATATTTGTATATTACGTTACACCTCTTAAACAACAACTGAGTAACTTTGTAGGTTCTTTAGGATCTAAGATAGCAAGTGAAGTAAATTCCTTAGTCATTTATGATAAACAAAGCTGCCCATAGCTAGCAAGAAAAATAAGGATAGCTTCTCTTTATTCACTAATATTTAAGATTGTTGGCTAGTAGTGAAAAGTCAATTCTAAGTAATTTATCCTACTTGTCACATTTTTCGGAAGTGTTAGAAAGCTGTTGTAGAAAGGTGACAGGTTGCAAAGAATGATAGAAAAAACAAATCTTTATTGAAACAGCTGTTTGCAAACCAGAAAGCGATTCAAACACAGAGCTCCTGAACGCATTTTAGACATGAGCGTAAGAACTCTTCCATGTGCTTCACACATCAGACATTTTTTATAACATACATTACGAATAGTGAAAGCCTGTATATTACCAAGAATAGCAATTAAGTGATGGTGAATAAAACTTTTATGCTTTTGTCAAGCTTAACAGACCCGAGCTCATAATTTTGGGGAAAATTTGAAACATTTTGAACGCCTCACAGGTCTGAAGAAATGTTGAGGTTTTAGTGCGATTTCCCCAACATTTCACCAAAGTTCACTATAGCGGCTTCTCTAAAATTTCCCGAAAATTGGGAAACGGGCATTAACGCAACCTTGCATTAAAAATGTATGAAGTCACTTCCTC